GATGGGAATGTACAAATCATTTCCATCCCTTGCAGTGCTGTCATGCTTCATCACTTTAGTCCATTTTCACCTTGCAAAAGAATTCTGAATGGGCCTTTCTTCTCTGGCAGCTAATTAATCTCTCAACAAGTCTGCTCTTGAAGCCTGTCTGCCTGGAATGCCCCACACCTTAAGCTAAGCGACTTGTGAGCAGATTTCTTTCCTTCCTGAGCAGTTCTTTCCCCCCCTTAAGCTATGTGAAGACCCAGCTTTTTCTTTTTGTTTGGGAAAATATGGGAGCTATAATATGTCATTGTGAAATTGCTCCCTCCACCCCACTACTATAAATTAATATACTCCCAAATAATTGAATTTGCTTTTAATGACAACAGACAAAGCCTGAATACAAATTATGAATGTGTACAATATTTTACTGATAGTATGAATAATATATTTGTAAGGACACGTTGTTCAAATATTCATTCTCTGCCTATGTGCACTTGTTAGAGTACCATTGTGATGAAACAGATATACTCGTATTTGTAATGCTATTGTATTTACCTAAAAACTATTGAATTTTGTAAATAAAAAAAACTTTTTAGTTTAATGGCAAATTTTGCATGTATGCCTCAATTTAAGAAAAATAATAAAATCCTATTTAGTTTTATTTCTGTTTAATATATACAGCTTTTAAAAAATTTCCCAGTATTGAACTAGTTACAAATAGTACTGTTTAATTTAGTCACAGGTGGAAACCTATTTCAATGACAGCTAATAGGAAATTAGAAGCATTAATCATACCTTAATATTTTGCTGATACTTTTCTACTCTTCACAGGTCATCTTTTCTTTTCCTCAGTTATCTCTTTTGCTTGTATTTTCTTTCATTTACTTTTCTCAGTTAAATCTTTTGTGGATTATTTTCCTATTTCTTCATGTTTCCCTTCCTTTGTCTTTTCTTTTTTTAATTATTAAAAATAGAAATTTTTTTGCTTGGTGGAGGGCTGTGGGGACCATGGTCTCAGGGAACATCTAGCTCAATTGGCATAACACAGTTTATAAAGACAATGGTCTACATTCTACCTTGGTGAGTATTGTGTGGGGTCTTAAAAGCCTGTGAGCAGCCATCTAAGATACTCCACTGGTCTCACCCCTTCGGGAGCAAGGGCGAGTGAAGAGAAAAGGATACGAGGAAAAGATTAGTCCAAAGGACTAATGGACCACAGCTACCAAGGCCTTCACCAGACTGAGTCCAGTACAGCTAGATGGTGCCCAGCTACCACCACTGACTGCTCTGACCAGGATCATATGTGTACCACTGTTTAATGAGAAACTATTCTGTTAACCTTCACCTGAAGTACAATTAAAAAAAAAAAAAAAAAACCTAAGAAAACTTAAAAAAAAAAAAACTAGAAATTTTTCTATTTTCCATCAACTATGACTTTGGAAAGCAGAAAATAAATATATTAATGGTGTAGTTATTCCAAATATTAAAGTATCTCTGTCCACCTGTGTAGACCTATGTATTTGCCCCATACGTGTATGAAAAATTGTTTATCTGGGAAACATAAACGACAAGAGAGTTAGATCACTATAAATATCCAATTATTCATAGAAATATATATTTAAATTTATTGATCATGCCCCAAAGATTGTGAGACTAAAGCTAAAAGAAAGAAGCTTTCTGACAAGCCATATTTATTTTGATTTTAATTAATTGAGATGATGTCTTCATACAGTGAAATTCACAGACATTACATGCCCAATTAGATGAGTTTATATGCCTATGAAACCAATAAAGTTATAGAATATTTCTATACTCGCAGAAATTCCTTGTGCCTCCATTTAATGAAAACCCACCCCCAATAGCAAAAACTATTCTGGTTTCCATAATCATAGATTGTCTGTTCTTGAACTTCATATGAATAGAGTTATATAGTTATATATGTATGCTTATTTGCCTGGATTCTTTTATTCAATGTTCTTGAGATTAGACCATATTATTATAATTACCAATATTTTATTATTTTTTAATCACAATCTAGTAAGAGTTAATATTGTACTATTTCACCTAAAATGTGAAGAATCTGGCTCCTGGTTAAAAATTTGTATAATTATTTTAGGCCCCAATACAGGCAAGTACAAAGGCTTTAACTGACAATCCTCGCAGGGAAAAACTGTCCTCCCTATACTAGACATGGTGCACAGCCAATGTATTGCAGTCTCTAGAGGGAGTTGCTGTCAAGCACTCAGGCTCTCCTGGACAGCCATGCTTTTACTCATGTATGCATTCCTAGTCCAGATGCTTTCACTGGGAGCTCTCCTTATCCTAGGCCATCAGCAGTAGCCTTCCTCAAGTGCCTCTGCTGAAACCTCGTTAACAGGGTAAAGGGGAGGGAGAAAACTTGAAGGCACTTTTACTTAGTACTTTTCCTCTCCTAGCCCTTCTCCCTCTCCCTCCACCTAGCTCTGGGTTTATAAAAACTTCAAAAGCCTTTTGTTTGGAATTTCCTTGGCAATGAGATGCATCCTAACATCTGCGCTGATCCACCTGATCCTTGCCTGGCATAGTCCTATGGGGAAAAATGGAACATAGGGCAGGCAGTCGGAGCTTTCCAAGGTTAGCTTTTGCTTATACTATCATAGTAAGTAATTAAAGCCTTTTCTGTTACTTCCATTTTGGCTTATCTTTATTGGTTACTCTGACATCTGGCAGCTCAAATCAGCTCTCCCCACCTTAGCTTAGGTCCTCATAAAATATAAGGACCTTAAACCCATTGCTATGGAGTTGATTCCAACTCATAGCGACCCTATAAGACACAGTAGAACTGCCCCATAGTGTTTCCAAGACTGTAATCTTTAAAGAAGCAGATTGCCACATCTTTCTCCCATGGAGCAGCTGGTGGGTTGGAACCACCAACCTTTTGCTTAGCAGCTGACTGCTTAACCACTGCATCACCAGGGCTCCTTACAAAGAGTTTAAAGCAATATAATTCTATTTGTACCCCCATGTTTTGTGCTGAGGAACCCTGGGGGTGCAGTGGTTACGTGCTCTGCTGCTAACCAAAAGATTGGTGGTTTGAACCCTCCAGCTGCTCCGCAGAAGAAAGATGTGACAGTCTGCTCCTGTAAAGATTTACAGCCTTGGAAACCCTTTGGGTAAGTTCTACTCTGTCCTATAGGGTCTCTATGAGTTGGAATCGACTTGACGGCAATAGGTTATAGGTTTTCTGCTATTGTTATCTTGTATTTTACATCTACAAACTTAATGCACACTTCAATACAATATTACTGTTTTTTATTTTGAACAGTCAATTGTCTTTTAAAAAATTAAGAAACAAGTATATATATAATCATATATTTGTAGTTTCAGATTCTTTTCATTCTTTTATGTATACCCTTGTTTTCATCTGGTGTCATCTCTATTCATCCTCAACAACGTCTTTACAGCATTTCTTGTAGTAAAGATCTGCTGGTGATGAATTTTCTCAGCTTTTGTTTATGTGCAAACATTCATTTCATCCTCATTATTAAAGCTATTTTTTGGCTAAATATTGAATTTTCAGCCATTTAAAATGTTACTCTAGTATATTCTGTCTTCAAAAATGCCAAATACAAATATTTAAGTAGGGAGAAACAAACTTTGTTCCTAACAGTTCTTAGAAGCTATGCTCGAGAAGACTTTTCCCCTACGCTTCTACATTTACAATCTGGGTCAAAGAAACTTAGAATGTTGGAGCTAGACTGGATCTCTTAGTGCACCAAGTTAAACAGTCTTTTTCACACAAAAAGAAAACTGATTGCCACAGAGATTAAACAGCTTCTCTATGATTACCATGCTAGTTCCTGTCAACACTAGAACCGGAACCCAGTCTCCTGGCTCTCATTGCAGCTTTCCCACTATACCATGCCATCACATATGACATGGCTCAAGACAATGAGGAACTAGTTACTCAGAGATTGACTAGTTATCAGATTATAACCAAAAACCAGTTGTTGTGGAGTTGACTCTGACTCATGGTGATACCATCTGTGTCAGAGTAGAACTACAGTCCATAGGGTTTTCAATGGCTGATTTTTTGGAAGTAGGTCACAAGGCCTTTCTTCCAAGGCACCCCTGGATGGACTCCAACCTCCAACCTGTCAGTTAGCAGCCAAGTACATTAACTGTGCACCACTCAGGGACTTCTATCAGATTATGTTGTCATTGTTAGGTGCTGTCAAGTCAGTTCCGACTCAGCAACTCTATCAGATTATAGGTGTGTTTATCTTGACTCTTCTGTTCTCAGCACTTATTAGTTATCCTGTTTCTACTCCTCTGTTTTTAAAATAGGTTTACAATAATGGAAATTAAAAAGCAAATTATTACAAGTGAGTAGTGTTGCTACTTTATGTGTAGCCTGTTTCATTAAAAAGCAGCCCTTTCATAAAATGTCAAAAGACAAAGCTGCAATTGTTACCCCTGCACAGTCACATCTAGTAGTTTGGAACAGTGATTCTCAAACTTTAGCATGCATCAGAATCACCTGCAGAGCTTGTTAAAAACACCGATTGTTAGGCCGCCACCCCAGAGTTTCTAAAATTGTATCAACTACAGACAAGGCTAAAAAAAAAAAAAAAAAAAAAAGAAGGAAAAATGACCTTAAAAGTTTACTTGGCCTTAGGGATTAGCGTAATTTTTTTTTCCCCTTAATTTATGCCTTTAAAAGATGGAAACAATTTTTATGCAATTTCATGACGGGAAAAATGCAATAGTATAAAGATGGCTTTACGAAGTGACTCTATAAATTGAAGGTAATTTAAATTTAGGAAATATTATGCTACTAATTCTATAAAGTGCTTGGAATATAAGATAGTTGTAGAATTTTCCCTTTTAAAGAGCTTTTCTTTAAATTCTTGCCATTTGTAAAGCTACTTTATGCCTCAATAGTTAAATTGTTTTTATTAGCATTGTGTAGAAACCATAAACAACAATTAGGTGCTAACTCCTAAAACTTTAACTCTTAATCTCTCTCTACACAGTGAAAGATGCAGATGTACCTTGTATGGCCATACAGATTCAGTGAACAGCATTGAGTTTTTTCCATTCTCCAACACTCTTCTCACAGCTTCTGCAGACAAGTCCCTGTCTATATGGGATGCAAGAACAGTAAGCAAATTGCTAACTCTTTTTCAAGATTTTGATAATTCTAGCCTCTCTAAGGTATTAGATATAACTTATAAAGTAACTGGGCAAGGATGTGTAGGGTGAAAGAATGGTAGTAAGTTCATACTTATGTGATTCTGTCTTTGTACTCTTATCTAATCTACCTCACAAACATGAGGACTATAAAATATATAAATATTTATATAAAATATATAAATAAATATAACCATTACTCATTAAATATTAATGCAACAATTATTTATTGAACAGAAACTTTTCTGGTGCAGGGGATACAACAGGGATACACATAGTGCTTCTCCTTAGGATCTTATAACTGATAAGGAAGGAGAAACAAGAGACTATTTTAATGCAGTGAGGTAACAATGGAAGAATATACAAGATACAGAGGGAAAGCAAGAAAGAGAATCTTCACCAGTCTGGCAGAGAGTGGATAGTTTTACAGAGGAGGCTGAAATTTAGAGGGTAAGTAGAATGTAGCAGGTTTCTAGAGAAGGGTGGATTCGAGGAAAGGGCAGTGCATGTACAAAGCCCTAGAAGTGTGAGGCTGCAATGGAATATTCTGGGAATAATGTTATATATGGAGGGAACTTAAAGAACAACAAAGAAATGATAGGTAGAGAAGAAGAAGATCATTAAGAATCTGGTTGAAGTTTTATACTGTTTTAGAGAGGACCTGTTAAGGAGCATTAAGCAAGTAGGACAACATAATCACATTTCCCTTTTAGAAAGACTATTATTTTGCTAGCAGAGTAAGGGAGTCAGTCTCATGGAGACTCATACAAAAGGCTATGAGAGGTTGAATATTTGAACGAGGAGTGTTTGTAGGGGTGAAAAGGAGAGGAAGGATTAAAGATAGGAGGTTTAACTACCAGAATCTGAAGAGCTGAGGTGAGATTATAAGAGGAAGAAGAGTTTGGAGTGACCAGCTCTCCCAGTTTGCCCAGCACTGAGGGATTTCTGGGTTGTAGGACTTTCAACGCTAAAACTGGTACTGTCTTGGATTACTATGGCTTCAACAGTGAATTTGATGTGAATAAATGGAGATGGAGTATGTAGACTGCACTTTCAAACTCTTTGGCTGTGAAGATGAAAAGGAGAAAGGGTCAAATAAAGGGCCTCCTTTTTTCAGATAAAAGGCAACATGTTTATTTGCCGAGTGATGGAGCAGGTGCAGAGGAAGAGATTGAAGATGCAGGAAAGAGAGGAGATAACACAGGGAATTATTGAGCACAGATTTAAGTTATCTGAGGAATGTCAAGCCATACAAAGCAGAATCTTCATAGTCTGTCTTAGCAATATTTAATGAGGATAATGGAGAAAACAAGGACTCTGGAAAACTACACAAGAAATATCCTTAGTTTTTGGTTCTGGGTCAGTAAAGAAACATGACTTGTAATTTCTTCCAGTTATCTTCCCATATACAATCTACGATTGACATAAATAAAGGAATGTGTTGATAGACATACAGATGGTGTGAACAGGATATGAGTTCAGTGTGTGAGACTCTAGTCCTCTGAGGCAAATTTGTTAAGGTGAATGCAGATCAAGAAGTTTTCAATTCCACATATTATTGAGAAAAAGCTAATGGCAGAGCTTTAAATGTCTTAATCAGCAGCTACACATGTTGCAGATATTTTAGACTTCAGAGGAAGCAAGAGACGAGGGGCCACTGTGGGAAGAGTGTATTCGGTGTGACTTAAGAAAAACAGCAGAATGATTTGTGTTTGGTTACAAAGGTCCCACAACCTCTCCTTGCTTTAAAATAGCTTAGATGATGATGTAGTGGAGTCTACTCCTGCTAATGGATCATCTATGGAAGAGCAAGAGTTTTTATGCATTTAGCCCTGAAAACTTAGATGTTTTCTAAACAACTGAGAAAGGAAAAGTCATATAGAAAATATGAATTTGGCAGTGACCTATATTTTATATTTATTTTCTATTCAGTTCAGGTCTTTTTTTTTTTTCCTCTCTCTCTCTCTCGAAGTGCTATAACTGGATGTTCTCAGAAAGTGTCTCTTATTTACTTTCACTTATATGAAAAGATGAAGGACTAATGCTTGGAAATAAAACTGTTCTTATTAAAAAGTTGCCTCTCATAGACTGCTTTGTTGATGGCAACTTTTTGCATAAAGTGATTTCTCTCTCCTCTGAAAACAGGGCTTGTACTGCTGTCACGGTGACCTTCCTGAGGTTTGAGCTATTTGTGTACTGGTTCTATTCTCTATAGTATTTCTAAGAGCAACAGCCAAGAAGGAGTCAGCATAGCACAAGTGCTTTACCATAGTAGAGTTCTAATAGACATAAGATGAATGTAGGTGCATAGTCAGGTTTGTGAATCTTAACATAAATGAACTTTTAATTGGTTTAATGGCAAAATAAAAATTTATATTATTAGTAGTGTTATATATACTTGTTTTATGTTCATTAATGCTAGGAACAGACCTTTAAAATATTTTTGTATACGTGAAATGTTTTTGTAAGTGTATGTTAAATACATCAATGATTAGTAATCAAGTTCATTTAATGAGTTCATTTTGTGAAAATCCTTCCAAATCAGGTGATTAAAAAAATAATGTAGTATTTAAATTGTAGCTATGCATTACAGACAATTAAAAAATACAGCAAAGGTAGACATTTGTTGAATTTAAGCTATTAATTAGATAATGAAAGTTGTTAACTAAAATATTGACATAAAAGTCTACAAATAAAACACGACTATAGAATTATACAGAATCATTTCACTAAAGTAGCATTAGACAGTTGTGATGATTTTGCTTCAGATTTACCTCATTTATTTAAAAAATTAAAAAAACTTTGAATCACCTACATTTTAAATATTCATATTACATTCTTAGTTTCAAAAAAATGCATGTGCTTAATATAATATAAAATTATTAGCTGTTTTATATCTCTATGGTTCAGGAAGGAGTTAAAATAAATTTATTTTTGTAGGTGAATCTTATGAAATATTGACAAAGGTGACCAGTGTAACTAAAGTTTTTTTTTTTCTATGTAGTAGCAAGAACTGCGTAACATATTGTTATATGAAATTATTTGACGTGTTACATCAACTCAATCCATAGTATACTGGTATGCTGCTTCTTTGTAATGTTTAGTTTATGTTAATTCCTTGATAATGATAGACTGCCAGGTTACACTGAAGGTCTACTTCAATCATGTGGTCTACTATGCTGGGAATTGAAAAGGAACAGCGTTGCTTTCATTGTTAAAATGAACATTTCAAGATCTATCCTGAAGTACAGCGCTGTCAGTGATATGATAATATCCATATACCTGCAGGGAACACCAGTTAATATGAGTATTATTCAAATTTATGCACCAACCACTAATGCCAAAGATGAAGAAATTAAAGATTTTTACCAACTTCTGCAGTCTGAAATTGATCCAACATTCAGTCAAGATGCATTGATAATTACTGGTTATTGGAATGCGAAAGTTGGAAACAAAGAAGAAGGATCTGTAGTTGGAAAATACGGCCTTGATGATAGAAAGGACACCAGAGATCGCATGATAGAATTTTGCAAAATCAATAACCTATTCATTGGGAATACCTTTTTTCAGCAACATAATTGGTGACTATACACATGGACCTTGCCAGATGGAATAAGCAGGAAACAAATTGACTACGCCTGCAGAAAGAGACAATGGAATAGCTCCGTATCATCAGTCAGAACAAGGCTGGGGCTGACTGCAGAACAGACCATCAATTGCCCGTATGCAAGTTCAAGTTGAAGCTGAAGAAAATTAGAACAAATCCACGAGAGTCAAAGTACGACCTTGACTATATGCTACCTGAATTTAGAGAACATCTCAAGAGTAGATTTGATTCATTGTATACTAATGACCGAGGACCAGAAGAGTTGTGGAATGACATCAAGGAGACATCATACATGAAGAAAGAAAAAAGTCATTAAAAAATAGGAAAGGAAAAAAAGACCAAAATGGATGTCAGAAGATACTCTGAAACTTACTCTTGAACGTAGAATAGCTAAAGTGAATGGAAGAGATGATGATGTAAAAGCTAAACAGAAGATTCCAAAGGGCAGCTGGAGAAGACAAGTTGAGTATTATAATGAAATGTGCAAAGACATGGAGTCAGAAAACCAAAACGGAAGAACATACTCGGCACTTCTCAAGCTGAAAGAATGGAAAAAAAAAAATTCAAGCCCCAAGTTGCAATATATTGGGCAAATTCTATGGGCAAAATATTGAACGATGCAGGAAGCATCAAAAGAAGTTGGGAAGAATACACAGAGTTACTGTACCAAAAAGAATTAGTTGATGTTCGGTCATTTCAGGACATAGCATATGATCAAGAATTGATGGTATTGAAGGAAAAAGTTCAGGCTGCACTGCAGGCATTGGCGAAAAAACAAGACTTCAGGAATTAATGAAATATAATTGAGATGTTTCAACAAACGGATGCAATGCTGGAAGCGCTTACTCATCTATGCCAGGAAATTTGGCTAACATCTACCTGGCCAATCAATTGGAAGAGATCCGTATTTGTTCCCATTCAAAAAAAGGTGACCCAACAGAATTCGGAAATTACTTAACTATGTCATTAATATCACACGTGAGAAAAATTTTGCTGAAGATAATTCAAAAAATGGTTGCGGCAGTACATTGACAGGGAACTACCGGAAATTCAAGCCAGTTTCAGAAGGGAACGTGGAATGTTGTCAGATGGATCTTGGCTGAAAGCAAAGAACACCAGAAAGATGTTTACGTACGTTTTATTGACTATGCAAAGGTATTTGACTGTGTGGATAATAACAAATTATAGATAACATTGTGAAGATTGGGAATTCCAGAACACTTAATCGTGCCCATGTGGAACATGTACATAGACCAAGAAGTAGTTGTTTGTACAGAACAAGGGGATACTGAGTGGTTTAAAATCAGGAAAGGGGTGCCTTGCACCATATCTATTCAATCTGTATACTGAGCAAATAATTCGA